TACCGTCTAACGTACATGTTGACTGAAAAAGAAAATGATACATATAATATGGGCCCATACAATCCTACATGTAGGTGGAAGCCTCACACACAAATACACACACTGGACCATTTTTCTGTCAGGTTATTCTCAATTCCCTTAAAGACATCTGATTGGCCAAATGAATTAAAAAATATTCTCACCAATCTGTTTCATCCATATTGCGCATTTCGGCTCAGAATGTCTCTTGAAAATCACACCGCATATTGTATCCATTTTCATTAGCCCAGAATAACTCTGGAACTGAAGTCGCAGAATATTGATAGTGTTCGTCCTCTCATGACCCCAGGCTTCACACGAAATTTGATAAAATCTTTTATAAACTGTGGCCTCTATTGCATTCACAAGCCAATTGTTGACGGACTGGCAGACAGGTGACGGCTAAATATGCCAACATTGAAATGTGGGTGTCTAAAATTGTGATATTTAAACATACATTATGAAGTCGCAGAATATTGATAGTGTTCGTCCTCTCATGACCCCAGGCTTCACACGAAATTTGAGCTAAAATTTTGAGACAGGGTAAATACACCATTCCTTTGTATTTTGGCGCTCAAATGATCACTAACTGGACTAAATGACTTCTCATAAACATCACATTTCAAGGCATCTTCGTCTCATGATCTTAAACACTGTGTATAAATTTAAAGTCAATCAGATATTTACTTTAGCGTCAAGAGAATCCACAAGACATTTTAAAGTTTCCAAGGGCCATAACTCGAGCAGTAATTATCGGAAATCATTGAAAATCAATAGGCTTCTTTGTCTCATGATCTTAAACACTGATAAATTTAAAGTCAATCAGATATTAACTTTAGCCCGTAGAGCGTCTATAGTTACTTATAGACGCCGGACCGACAACAACATACGACCACATTTCAATGTGGGCGTATAAAAAACAAGTTATGCGGACGTTTTTAAGTGACGTAGGATTGTCTGAGAACCAGATTATTTTGTTCATATGGCCTTACCACTGAAAAAAGAAATGTAGGGCAGTATATAAATGTTGATATTGCACATTGAATGCTATTGACACAGTAACACAATAAAAATATACAGAAACTGACAAAACCTTAACTTTTATGAATGACAGAATGTAGCAGGTCATTTGAGTTATTGTTATATTAGCTATAACTGCTGGTGTTTCCCACAGAATATCACAGCCATTTTTCATGTCAAAGAAAAATGAAATGGGATTTAATGTCCTACTGTTCTGTTTTGACTGGACTAATGAAGACGGGCTTACGCCATGCAGTGTGCTATAAGCTGCACTATGACCTACTCGAATGCCAAGGGTTATTTTAAAAGCATGTGAATGTGTACACAGGACCTCAGTTTTTCCATCCCATCCGAAAGACTATACATTGTCCCTTGCCAAGCCCTCTGTCAGTGTCAGGGGGGGTGGATGGCCGAATGGTTAGCATGTGCGCGCTGTATCATAAGGCCTGTCATTGAGTCAACTGGCGTGGTTTTGATTCCCCGGTTGTATGTGACAAGGAGTAGGGTCGCCTGTCCAACCTCGTGGGTTTTCTCCAGGTCCTCCGGTTTCCTCCCACTGCTAAAGACCCCTACGTGCAAGCGAATTATTGAAATAAAATTAAACCATGTTAGTCCCGAAATGACCTAGTTTGTGTGAGTGGATGTTAAACCCCATTTCTCTCTCTCTCTCTGTCAGTGTCATGTGAAACAAAGAGACAGTCTAAATGCCATTTTAGGTTCTATAATGGCAACATTAAAGAGATAAAATATTCTTTACCAGAATACTATACTAAAAGTTTGACAAATGACATCTTAATGAGTAAAGATCAAGAAATAAGGTTTCACATCTTAGTTTTCTGAGCCAACTGAGCTAATGAAGATGGACAGATGCCATGCAAAGTGCTATGAGGGACATTTTGCCCTGACAGTGGCACTACATCTTTTTCATATTTTGATTTCCAACTTTTAGATGATCTTTACTGGACTCTTAATGTTATACATGGGACATGGATTTTCCATCTCATCCGAACAACTGAAAATTTTCTAAGTTCTTAATGACTGATATGACTTGAATATTCAGATCATAGGGATTTTCCGGCATGGTTTCCCCTTGTCAGTGGTGCAGGACAAGGACAGCTGTCTAGTCATTTGTATGGGATGAAAAAAAACGAGATTTCTGTGTACACTTTGGCATGAACATAAAAGATCCTTTGACGCTTGGAATTTGATATAAGAGTAGGCCTTAGTGCCACTGTCCGGGCAAAATTTCCCTCATAGCACACTGTATTTTGAATATTCAGAGAAACTTTTTCAGCCAATGAGTTAAAATGAACTTCAGACCCTAATTAAAGTTTTAATGGACTACAATGTTTATGATCTATACAATTATGCTGCATTCGAAATACTGAACAATAGCTGTATACATGATACCATTGTTAAAGGTTTATCATTAAAACACTTTAAGGATAGAGCAGTATTAGTGTCATTATCAGATATCACAATATATCTCAATTTCCTAAATACTGGTGTCCGCCAATCTAATGGTAACATGTAGAATACCGTGTGGCGGACATTAATCAGCGTGGCTGGACATGTGTACATGTACTTATATATATACGAGTCTCATTTAATATTATACATACATTAACAAGTCAGAGAAATAGTTATCAGACTAAATCAGTGAATAAACAACTGCCAAAATATATTCATAACATTTTTGTTAAAGCTCCAACATGCCAGAATTTATGTTTAATATGGAATTTCAGACCAAACACATATAGAAGTATTTTGGTTCAAACGTAATAAAAATTCTATGTAACTAAGTTATGGCTATTTCTATTGAGAGAGAAGAGAGTGAAATTAGTTTTAATGTCCACTCAACACAAACTAGGTCATTTTGGTATTAACATAACATATTGTACAAATGCATTTCAATAATTTGCTTGTGTGAAGATGTCTTTAGCAGTGGGTATTTCTATTTATGTCACATCGCCATCTTCATATATCTTAGACAAATAAAGTAATAATAATTCTTTTATATTTATCGTCAAGACTACATGTATCTAGCCAATTCTACATTTGGCCTACATATTTTTTTCATATTCCCATGTGCTAAATTACAAAAAATAACCAGTCTTTATTTATTAGAATAGTAAATATTTTGGAACTGAAACCCGACTACTACTGCCCCCTCATTTTATGGTATTTTATTTTGGATAGTATCATAATTTAGAGTCACAATGTTATAGACCTGTAACTCATGCTAGATCAAAAAAAAAATCTTTCAGAATAATTTACCTTAACATGTCTACCATCTCCTGTGACTTCATCAAACTCTTGGCCTAATTCAAAAGATAAATCAGTTGATTTAAAAGTTGTTGATGTTAAAATCTGGATTTTGTTTCCATCAACTTTAATATCTTGTTGGGGTTTGGCTGCTCCAGCTAATTTCCTCATTAACATTCCAACTCCTGGGAAAAATATTTAAAAAGAGAGTAAATTATTATACAACACGGATCAGCAGTGAATAGGGATGAGAGGGTTGACATCGGTGCGGCTTAATGAGCTCGCGATATTAACTTTTTTCCATCTGCAAATTAAATTCTAAAACATTTTTTTTTAAGTATTAGAAAAGTACCGGTAAATAAAGATCTTTAAAGTATATCCGGATAAAAAATATTTTATATTTTGTGTAAATGAGTACCAGTATATAAAATTAAAGGCACCATTCTACCGGGACATTACACTTTTCTTGAAGTTGAAATGATTGTGGGCTTTCTTATTTTAAAAAAAGGTAAAACAATTTATCAAATAAAGTTGTTGGATTTTTTTTTTTTTTTTTTTTTTTGGGGGGGGGGGGGAGTTTATAAATAAAGTTTTTGTGGGGGGGGGGGGTGGATTTGATTTTCTATATTTAAAAAAAAATAATAAAAGCAATAATAAGTTAATTACTTTCTTAAAATTAATTAATTAACTTTTCAAGTATAAAAAAGGGGATTCCACAAGTTTTGTATTAACTATTAAAAAGAAAATTAATCATTCTAAATGTATTTTTCAAAAAGTGAAATAATAGATCTTATTTTCCATTAAATTACCAAGAGATAGATTTAAAAAAACGAAAATCTAGCTGAATCATATGAAAACAAATCAATATTCATAATTTCATTACTATATTCTGACTCTGTTTTTTTTTTTTCAAAATGTAAATTTATCTTTTTTCAATGAAAAACAAAACAAATAAATGCCCTAGTATTACCTCGGCTGATCGTATAAAATAAAATTTGTTTACCAATTTGTCATCGGAACATGGACAATGGAATTGGTAGAAGCAGAAATCTGCATTGGAACCAATATGAATAAGATTCTTATAATTTCATGCATTCTGAACTATTCATTAATGCCATGCGGATGCCAGAGAGAGTAGTAATAATAACACAAAAGCAACTCACCGACAGCTTGCATATACTCATCAAAATTTTCGGAATCTATCATGTTCCATTTTCCTTGAAATGCCTCTGCTGCCATTTTCCTTAGTATTGCTCTTTAACCGCTTTGTAGCTTGTATACCCTATGCTGTGCCGTGGACTAATGTGAAATGAAGCGCGACCTTTCTCGTCGACAGTGTATATGGCGTGGGTCTGGATCGGGCGATATTGTTGCTTTGATTGTCCAGTAGTAATATTTAATATCATATTAAGAAATAGATTCAGTCTGGTATATACGAGTAAACATCGGGACCATCTGGATCACGTGGTTGTTAAACGGAATATTACAACGGTATTTAATTATATATGGGCGAGTATGACAGTGGGCTTCAGTCATTTTCTTGAAACTTTTAAACAGTAGAAAATAATTTACTTCTAAACTCGAAGGAAAATTAAACTGGATATTACTCCTTAATATTTAATATTAATTAACAAATGAGCGCAGACAATGCAGAGTCTAGTTAATAAAGGCTACATTGTGCCGTTTAAAGTGTCACGTGACTGCTAAAATGGTGGTTGATTGAAACAAAAATTCGAAGAGCACAAATCAGTCGCGGTGAATGCCGAACATTTGCAATGTGTCGGTGGTTGTTTTATTTATATTTAAATATTAAAGTCAAAAGTTATGATATTCAGTTCCTTTCATTAGCAGAAACATGTTAAAACGGCACGGTACTATAGTAATAATTGAAATTTTAACTGCCGCAAACGCGTTTTCCTGCTATTCCACTCAGGCCTTGAATACAGCTCAAATTCAATGTGGTCCAATATAGCCTACCTTAGTGGGTGACCCGAATTCCAAACAAAAAACCAGTCGTCGTGGGGCATGGGGGCCTCGCCCTCCTGGAGAAAATTTTGAAAGTGTAACCGCGACAAATGCGTTTTTGAGCAATTCTAGCCTGTAAGTTAAGCAACTCCAAAGTTGTCCAATATGGTTCTGTAACCAAAATTTTTTTTTTACTTGACCCATCTGCCTGAAAAGTCAGATTGCCCGAAAGTTAGGGGGCGTACGCCTATGATCACAGAGTCAAAAGCTTTTATCCTTGTTTTGTATGGGAAAATTTGATTGCATTGGCAAGATTTGGAGTTCTAGACCCCGATTACCACAAACTTTTAAAACAATTTTGCACCTAATTTTATTTGAACATGTTATATAAATTAACTGCTAATATGGTACTCAAAATTCACCCCAAAATTTGACAGACACACAACTTTAATTTTTTTAAAATTTAGATTAGAGTCTATAATCTATGAAGAGTTTTGAATTTACCTTTTCCGTCTTGTTTTTGTGAAAATTCATGATTTTGCTGTGGATGGATCTGGTGATAAACAGCTTGAATTAGTGAAGAAATTCGCTACAAAAATGACAAAACAGTCTGTAGATTGTTATGATCTGAGGTAGAAAAATTCCAGATTGTGCATCAACCCCCTTCAATAAATTGATCAGATGATTGTGACATGCTGGGATCTTTGTCTTTAAGATCATCAGTTATGTTTTTATATAGGCCAAGAAATGGTATAGATTTAAAATTTAAAGTCAGATACATTTACACTATTTTGCCTTATTACACTATTTTGCCTATACCGTTTGTTTAGGACTTCGAATTTTGTCTAATGGTTTGGATTGTTCGTACTTGGTTTTATTTTATTTCAGATTACTGCACATTCATCATGCTCAGTATAACCTACCTGTCAAGTTGATTATCTGACTGGCAACAGAGTGAATAGCTTATGGAATCCCTGGAAATACGTTTTTGGGATGATGAATTTTATAAATAATTTCATCAAGTGTTTGAAATTGTAGAGAATTCATATTCAGTCTTTATAATGGTACAGGAAGTAGAAGCTTTTTATGGTGTGTATTTATTATACAATCTGAATCCAAAATATAAAGGTCGGGTATATATCGGTAAAACTACTGATCCTAATAGACGAATACATCAGCACAACACTGGCGCTAAAGCTGGTGGAGCTTGGAGAACAGATGGAAAAGGACCATGGTAATAATTTACATTTAATAGTTCAATGATACACACCTTCCATTTTCAAATCATTCAAGCTGTAGAACTACTGAAACGATAAGGAAATTTATAATAGAGAGGTTTCGCAACTTTACATTTACACTAATAATTTGTGATGTATGAAGTGAAGTAGTCTCCATAACTGTAAGTTCACAACACTTAGCTAAACCTTGTTTAATTTTTCTAATCCAGTCCATAATTTTTCTCTGAATCGTGGTTTTGACGAACTAAATCCACAGAGAAGACCTTCTCCTTCATGTAGACAAAACATGTGCATGCTTTAGTAATCTCATCTTCAATGATCTATCCGTGATAAATGCCTGTCGACATGATGGATCGAGATTGTGTCACCACCTACGAATTTTGTGAAACTTCATAATGTACAGTTTCCAGTTATATTTATCTAAATGAAAATGTAAGTGTAACTGTTAAGTTGCGAAACCTCTCTAATACCAATTGTGGGGAGTCAAGCAATCATTTCTAGCATATTTTACAAAATTTACTTTCTGGCTTCTTCCAAATCATAACTTTCTTGGTATGAGAGGATTTCTATTTTTTGATATTTTGTAAATTTTTCTTCCAGGGAAATGGTTTTAATCATACATGGTTTTCCAGAAGCTGTGTCAGCATTAAGGGTAGGTGAGCTGATTTTTAGATGATCTGACTAGAAGTGAAATGGAATCTAGCATGACAAAATGGCTACAGCCTACTTTTTTTTTTCCATTTCCACCTGGATCTTTAATGTGCTATCCATTCCGAATGACTAAATGTCTTTTCTTGAAAGGATATCCATTCGGTATTGACAAGGGGTAACCAGATACATGTACTTAAAAATTAATCCTTGACAATTGCAATCTGTTGATGAGTAGGAGGGAACGCCACTTTCAAGGCAAATGTCTCTAACTGGACACTGCATAGTTTATACCCATCTTCATTAGTCCTGACGGTGCAGAAAAGAAGGACGGTAAACCCCATTTCATGTAATATTCACCGAGCCACCGCGGCTATAAGATTACAATGAGAAATTTCATACAGATCAAATAGTTTATGCACAAATTAAAAATGTTTCCTTTTGTTTTGCATTTTTTTTTTAAGAAACGAAATTTGATCAAGAATCAGCAATTTTTTTTGTTTTATTCTATGATTTAATGATCCCAGATTGTTTAATTAAAATTTTAAAACAGAAGTCTGGTGGCCGAATGGTTAGCGTGTGCGCGTTGTATCATAATGTCTGTGATTGAGTCAACTGGTGTGGTTTCGATTCCCCGGTTGTACGTGGCAAGGAGTAGGGTCGTCTGTCTAGCTTTGTGGGTTTTCTCCGGGTCCTCCGGTTTCCTCCCACTACTAAAGACCCCTACACGCAAGCGAATTATTGAAATTAAATTAAACTAAATGTTAGTCCCAAAATGACCTGGTTTGTTTCGAATGGGTATTAAACCCCATCTCTCTCTCTCTCTCTCTGTGTTTTTGTTTTCTGTTGAAGGATTATGTTGTTTTTATATTCAGTTTGAGTGGGCATGGCAGCACCCAAAGATATCAAGAAGATTAAGACATCTGCCGGGAAAACGTAAAACAGAGAAACAGTATGACTTTCATTTTCGGATAGTTTCTCAGATGTTAAGAACTGCTCCATGGAATAGGTTATCTTTAACTATTCGCTGGCTGAAACAAGAGTTCCGACAAGATTTCTCCCCGAATGCTTTACCACCAATCCATATGCCTGTTGAATATGGACCAATCATTTGTAAGAAAGTTGATGTGAAGAAGAAAAAAACGAAGAAAAGAAAAGATGAGGACAGTGACAAAAGCTCGCAACTTGAAAACGTTGATATCGAATTACAAAAATCTTGTGCAGTTTGTTCAAAATGGATAACGTTAAAGGTATCAATTTTCTGTTTCCAGGCGTATCCAAACAGGATCCTGAACTGGCGGTTTAAACTTTAAACCTGTCCACTTATACCAAGCTTTGATTTATGTATGACGAAATCAGCCATTTTAATTTTGACCCAAATGAAAAACCTCGCTTAACCAGGTTGCTGTTCTCTTAAAGCAGGGTGGGTGGTGGAATGGGTAAACGTGTGCGATTTAGATCCTAAGGTCTGTCGTTTAGTCTAGTGGTGGGGTTCCAATTCCCAGCTTACCTGACACAGAGTAAAGTCGCCTGTCCAGCCTCGGTTTTCTTTAACACCTAAAAGACCCCTATGCACAAGCAAATTATTGAAATATAATTGAACTATGTTAGTCCTGAAATGACCTAGTCAGTGCCGAGTGGATGATAAACTCTATTTAACCTCTCTCATCTGATTGTTTTTGAATTTGGTTACATGTGTGGATTTTGTTGTTGCAGCTATGGGTCATGTCAATCATGGCTCATGCCATGAGCTCTGGGGTTCAATCCTGGTGTTGGTCGAGAAAGTTCCCCAGAATTTTCCAACTTGATTTCTCCTTGTCAATGATGTAGGATAGAGGGCCTGGCAAGGAACGTGTCTAGTCAATAGGATGGGATGGAAAATGGGGATCCCTTGTACACATTGGTGTGCCCGTAAAAGAACTTGTGACAGTTGGAATTTGAAATGAGTAGACTGTAGCACTGCTGTTCGGGTACAATTTTCCTCCTGCCTGTCTTCATTAGCACAGTAATTAGCCCAGTCAGTGGAGAACAATAAGACGTTAAGTTAAAACCCATTTCATTTCATTCATTTCATTTCGGCAATTACCTCCCATTTAAATCTTTTACAATTATCTCCCTTTTATTTTATTTTTTGTACTCTGTGTTTCAGGAACAAGATATCACACTCTCCTGTTTATATCCCGTTTGTAACATGATCTCTCACATCGTCTGTTTGGCTAAAAAGTTTTTAACTGGAGATGATCATTTAATACCTATTGAAGGGAATTGCCCTTGGTGTAGTCAGACATTACTGTGGGGAGAACTAATACGACACAAACAAGGATGCCTCACAAACCTATTAGAACTGACAGAGGTAAGGATGTAAATGACTGTTGACAAAAGGTCCAGTGTCATTTATGATTGTCAGTATCATCTATACTCTAAAATTGAATCCAAATTCAACCAAGCTTTTTTCAGAGTTAATTCATCTTACCACTGGAAATGTATAGGTGGAGAAATCAATGAATTCTTTTTTAGTGATGTAAACCAAAACGATAACCAACAAAATCCACAATTCTTTTCATTAATTGTCTTATTTTCTTTTTGTATACGGTCTACCCTTATTTCGATGGTGGGGGTGGGTGGACGAATGGTTAGCCCATGTATCATAAGGTCTTTCATTGAGTCAACTGGCATGGTTTCGATTCCCGGGTTGTGTGTGACAAGGAGTAGGGTCGCCTGTCCAACCTTGTGGGTTTTCTTCAGGACCTCCGGTTTCCTCCCACTGCTAAATACCCCTGCTAAATTGAAAAATATTGATCCATATGTTAGTCCCCAAATGAACTAGTTTGTGTCGAGTGGATTAAACCCCATATCTCTCTCTCTTATTTTCATGTTGACTGATATCTCAACTATGTCTCTTATTACTTTCTAAATATGGTTCTTATTTTATTTATTTTTTTTCCAGGAATGTGAAAAGGGTTCTGGAGATTACCTTGAAGAAAGTGAAACTGACTGAAACATTGTATTTTCCAAATTTATCCTTTGAAGATTCAGCTGTAAAAAAACGTCAAACCTTTGTGATTGGTCTGTGCTGGCAGGACTAGTCTCCATTTTCTAAGCTAGTCTGAAAGCTCAATAAAATTGGTAATTTTAAAGATACTTTCCTCACGTACAAACTGTGTGATTTGATGATATATTTGGACTAAAAACTAATTAATCTATCAAAAACTTGATTCAAATCCCTCTCAAACCTTTGCATATACAGGAGATTCCGCAAGCTATAAATAAACTGATGTTGGAGGCCACGTCTGTCATCTCGCTTGTTTGAGTGAGGGTCCATTTTTCAGAATGTATTTTTTTATTACTTTCTGTCCATTTACCATACATATTGAGGCTTAATTTAATTCTAAATTATTTTCTGTCAACTTATTTTTCCACTGTTTAATTGCAGAGTTTATTGCAAAGACATTTGTACGTTGACACCCCTCAGTGTTCCCAAAACCACCTAACCATTTGATCAAGAAATAACAACCGCTCCCTCAGTCAAGCTAGCACACAATAAGCTGGCAGACAACAGTCGGGTTGCCAGTTAGTGGTACCCAGACATTTTTGGCCAGTGCTTGCCCCATGGGTGTTTTTCGGGTAATCCAGTATTTTTCTAGTAAGATTGGATGTCTATACATTCCATATGCTTCAGAGATTTGATATTTTAGCAAAATTCAAGACGCATCAAGCCTTTGAAGGATAATTATATATACACACAATTTATTTATTTACATATGTATAAATGAGACGATGAAGAATTCATTAAACTGATTTAAGATAAATAATATGTATTATCTTTTTTGAATATATATCAGGCATTAAACAAAATCTACAGAATATGTTTAACATTTATTTGGCACTTACCAGGTCATTTTGGGACTAACATGACATAATTTTGTTCCAGTAATTCACTTGCGCCCAGGGGTCTTTAGGATTTGGGGGAAAGCTAATTACAGGGAGATAACCTATTCCTGCAAAGTGCAAACATTGGATCGAACGTATAACTTGCACATGTAGACTGATTATTGTGCCGCATAGGGCATTAGAGGTAACCCAAGTACAAAGAGGTGACCTACTTGTGCAAAGACTGGATTGAACCCATGACTTTGCATATGTGTACTGGTTATTGTGCCACATTGGGGTTTGGCGGTAACCTAATTACATGGAAATATGCTCCTGCAAACACTGGATAGAACCTGTGACTTATATATGTAGACTGGTTATTGTATTGCGGCCACAAATAGGTACCAGCTATCCACTGTGTGGTAGGTGCATGGGGTTAATATTAGAATGGGCTGTACAATAATAGTTTGGTAGATAAATATTTATATTGTTTTTCATATTATACCTTCAAACAAACTACTTTTCCTCTCAGTGAGATGATATATATATATTGGCACATATTGAAACAAACTATTCTACTTAAATGAAACAAGATTGAAAACATAGCAATGGTTCTGAATCCTGGTTATAATAAGTATTGATGACATGGGTTTTTGGTACTGGAGGTTACAAAACCATACTACCCAGGAAGCGAAATAGGGATTTCAGGTCCCGAGTTCACAAAGCATTCCCGGACTTAATCAAAGAATTTACTCAAAACTTCACCTTATTTGAACTCGGGATCAGGTCAGTAACCGATTACGCTTCCACATGTACAGCACGTAATTGTTAGTTACAAGGCAGCAGGACATTCCCACTTCACCTGTTCCTGCTCAACCAAACTGCACATATTTCTGAAAACGTCTTTTTCAGTCTCTTCCATGAGACATCCCGTGTTAATATGTAGACAACTTTACATTGCTTCCAATGAACCTTCTAGATCTCTGACATAATCTGTGGCACGCACTCTGGTATGAAACATACTGATGGTCTTTTCTGTATGACAGTATTGCCAAACAGGACTAATAAATGTTGAGAGCCTGAATAAAAGTCATAGATATATTCCAGCCATTACTGAATACTGCAAGCTTGTGATTGTATCTTGGCGGCTTTCTGGGTCATTGTAACTGCTTTGCAGATAGTCTTAAAATTGGGAGCCTTTTTTGGACGCGCGATACCAGGCTGGTATTTTGATTTTATAACGTCTCTATCGAACAACTTGAGCGTGTCCACCATTGTCTTACTGGTCCTTGTAGGGAGTTTGGAGATTAGGTCCTTAACAGGGTCTTCACATTCTATTATTAAAGTGAGGATCATTACACGCCCGTCATTGCAGCCTACAGCCACTGTTCGGTCATCTTCCCCGACTTCAAGACAAGACGCCTGGCCATGGATGAACAACTTCCCTACAGTTTCTCCATTAGATGATCTCATAACCAGGACGATTTTACCCGTTTTACATATAGCCACGATGTACTGGCCGTCCAGGACAAGTTTAGCCGAGTCGTCAATGACTTCTGTAGAAACTTTCTGAACGAATCCTTTAGTGCTGTTCCTAAAAACCTCCAGGTGGTCACTTAAGATAATGGAGCCGTGTTTAGAGTAGGCGCACGAACTAACATTGACGCTTGGACTTAAAATAAAGGGCAAGTGACGTAACAGAAAATCAGTTTTTGGATCATACAAAATGGCACACTTTTCCACGTCTAAAGGACACATCAATCCGCATTTGTTGTCAAACTGAAAGTAGTCAATATTCTTCGCATATATAAGCACAAGTTTATTACTCAATGTCGATCGAATGTCTACAAATTTGTCTTTTTCGTCAGCAGTACGTAACAGACTTTTGACGGTGACGTTTCTTTCGGACGACGTCGAACTTAGATTGAGCAAAGATAACCTGGATTCAAACACACGCCCTCTCTCAATTCTTGAAATTGGATCGGAGATAACTTTACATTTCTGATACAGGGCAACGAAAGCATGGTACTTTCCACTGGAAAAGATCAACGGTTTACAAACGAACTCGGTGTTGCTCGGAATAGTTAATTCCGTCGGTTTCTTGTAGAAATGGTCGGGTTGGAAAATCTTCACCACGTATGAGTTTCCTATCCAATCACAAGGAACGTAGGATAAACTCTGGACACATGCTATGTAAGAGCTTGATCTATCAAAGATCACATATCTGTTATTTATTGCTAAATGAAAAGTTTCTTGAAGACTCATGTCATAGATCAGATCATCAGATAAAATGCTCCAGAGAATAGGCGCCGTCGCATGCGAGGATTGTCTCCCCCGGACTACACAATATTTTCCAGCAGGGGACATCTGAAGTTTGAAAATTTTATCTTCCCGTTCCGGACTGTAGGGAAACACGTGTTGAACATCGCCGCTACCAAGGTCGACAACAGTTACCTCTGGTGGTAGTCGATCACTGGAACAAATTGCTTGCGCGCTGGTGGAAGACAGTGCCAGGTTTAACACCCGTCCTCGGACCACCTTGTTCGCATGCTGTACATCAGCTCCCAGGTTGTTCATATTCCATACTTGTAACGTATTATTTTTCAACAGAGCGATTGTTTTGTTTAGTGTGTCGCATGTGAAGATTTTGACAATGGGAGAAACAGAGGCCAGAAGTAATCTAAGCGGTTCACCAGACCTGCTGTCCCAAACGGCTATATACGTGTACCGGGACGCCACGATCATCTCGTCGTTGGGCGTGAAACCCGCAGCTGAAAAGGTCGACATGGTCTCCACAAAGGCGCCTTCTGGCATTTTCTGTAATCGAAGCTTTAACGTTTCCTCGTGTGCATCTATAAGATACAGGCAGCGTGCTGCTCTAACCAAAATTAAATTCTGAGCATGCGACATAACAAAGTCCTTAATGTCAAAATCACTTATGATATCATTCGTGATCGCGTCCTTCGTACCAAGATTAAAATGAACCGAATAGAGAAGATTCGACTGGGTCATGGCGAAGTATTTTAATTCGTTTTTAGTAAACCTGATTAGTTTTACTTCATCGTTCATTCTAGTGACACATTTTCTCTCCATAAGCGGAATCTCGTACAAGAAAAGGTGCTTTTGCGAACTTAATACCAAGAACGATTCGTTAGCACTGATGACACAGGTTGTACAGTTGTAACTAAACTTGTGCAATAGAACGCAGTCCTTTATATCAACAACGTACGGTCCTATTCCCTGATCGGTGATAAATGCTAGAAGTCTTTTAGATGCAGTCACACTGTTCACAACACCATATTCATAATCAATTTCCCCGTGAAGTTCACCGCCATCTGTTTTATACACAAGCACGAATTTATTGTTCTTAAAGGTACTGATATACCTTCCGTCCTTGCTGGGATAAAGTTTTCCTATGTGCATCTTAAAATCTTGTCTAGGTTCCCCCTGACTCAACTCCCAAACCTGAACGCTGTTATTATAAAATGGCTTGGCCGTCATGAGGACGCCAACTGAACTTTGAAAAACATCCACTTCAACCCGTGCAGTCGGTTTGGCATTTATTTCACATTCAAATTGTAAAGGTCCCCCGGGTGCGGTGTATATTTGACAGTTGGGTACTAATGGGCAGTGGTATTGGGTGACGAGATCGCACTGTCCAACGAGCTGTTTTATATAGGCATACTTTGACGCATGAGGTAAAAGTCGTCCAGTTAATTCAGGAACAAGAGCGTGTACATCTATTGAGAGCACCGATCCAGTCATACGTAAAGCATCAGCTATTAAGTTACATTCTTTGTCGTCAATGAGAGCGTAATCTGCAAGCAGGGTTTGGAGTGAAGTGGCCTTCATTTTATAATAAATCCATTCATAATTACACAAGCAGGTGCCCTTTAATCTGCTCAACTGGCGACTGTGGAGTAAGCTATAAGGTACCTGCTTTAGTTTCCTCACGTTGTATCTGGGAGTACCCTCGGAATTGAAGAGCATGGGTTGTTTAGGTACATGTCTGAGAGCGCTACCGTTTTCATCTCTTATGTTCAATCTGGACATCAGTTGTTTTGTGTATGTAAACTGTTTTTTGACGTCAGCCCACATGCCCATATAATATTGTTCAATAAGTCTGTGTATTTCCACTACGGTCAAATATTCCTCTAAATATCTCTCAGTAACAACATTAACAAATTGTTGATGAAACCAAGACAATACCACAGTCCCATCCGCATCTCTTTCCAACAGAAAGTTACCGATGTCCAATTGCAGGCGAGACAATAAACTTGGTGGCAAACGACGAATTGGGGGAAGCCACATAACGAATAAACTGTTCAAGACTTCATCATCGAGTGAAAGAATATCTTCTAATTCCGATTCGCTCAAACCGTCTCTAGCAGCTGTTATGTATGATAACGCCTTGGCTACAAACATTTTACCGTGCTTCTTTTCTAAACGTTCGAATAGAGTATGAATGCAAGACTCGACAGTAGTCGTGAGGACATTCTCATGGCTTTGATCATAAGAATGCCACCTCTTTGCTTCTTCAAAGGTAAGTGTGACAAAGAGAGGAAGGGTGCAGCTCTGAAATGACTTTCGGATGGTTTTCCATTGCTCGTAGGTGACTTTTCGTTGAGACCTGTCTAGCAGAATTTTCACAATATCTTCACAATCCTTGGTCGGTAAGGGTTGAGTATGAATGAAGTTGTCTTGGATTCTGTTCATGAGTCTATCTAATATTTTGAATTTGAACGGTATCGTTGATACGATTATTTTAACATTTCTAGCATGTCGGGCTGGGAGCCAGTCTAATTTATGTGCATTTTGATTAGTCGATAACTGGTTTAAGGCGTCCAGCACAATCAGAACCCTTCCTCTAAAATCACCTTCTAGGACTAAATTTCTGAAGTAAACTTTCAAACTAAGAAAATCTTCTGGAACGTCACTTCTGTTTCTGTTGGCAACAAATGCTAGCTGGTGACACACTGAGTACAAAAGTTGCTGGATAGAAGAACTGTCGGGGGTTGTTCCTAAAAATCTTACAATGACCGCAGGATTCGCTTGCTCATGTAGTCCACGAATGCTGTTGGCTAAAATAGCACCCTTTGCTAGCAGAGATGTTTTACCACTACCTGATGGCCCAAAAACTACCAGTGGCTGTGAGGATTCACTTGAAAGAAGGTACTTTTGGATGACAGCAAGTTCATCTTCTCGACCAACAAACGTTTCACATCGACCTTTCAGAGTAGTCCAATGTTGAAGGACTTCGTGGTAAAGAGAATCGTCGTCTAACTTCCTTCTGCTAAAAATATTCCGTTCCACCAGTTTGTTGACCGTTCTTTCAAAATGATTACACACCCTCTGTAAGTAAGGCGCGTGGAATTTAGGATCTATACCCGATTCCTTCCAAGATATTGATGATTTCAGATAATTATTAGCAGATAACTTCTCTTTTGACTTGGCCTTTAGGTCGTCTAGCAATGATTTAGTTTCAGGATGCATTTCTGGTGGATTTCCAATCACCTCAACAAATGTTTTTGCTTTTTTACTCTGTAAGTTTCTGTGAAGGTCCAGGAAATCCCTAATGTACACGATGGCATTGTTGTCTCTATCTTTCTGTCTGTTGATACCAATTAAACCTTCATAGATTTCATGTTCAGTAACTGTAAGAAAAACAAATTAGTCAATATTAATAACCCAACTGTTCTAGTTTTTAATTCACAGCCTTCAATAAATTGTAAACATTGGCTATAAAACGAAAGGACAAGGGGTTGAAACAAGAAAATATTTAAAGCCACCATAGAGAATGTAAAACTATACTGAATTTGACTATGTTGCCATTGACTAAACCATAATTCAACTGAATTGAATGAAAGATACAAAAATAAAACAAACATGATCTGTCTCTTGCACGACATCCATCCCTACTTATATCCAAACTACTGGGTGGGTCAGAAGGAATCGTGGGGTTCATGTGTATTCTCTTTAACAGAAACGTTATATGTTGTCAGACTGTAACCCCCTTCAGTTGTTGCCCAATAAATTAGTTTTCTTACCAGAAGCTTTCATTTGCCTGAAAAAGGCTCTACTTATTTCGTGAGCTTCCAAAGCAGACTGCCCGCCTGATTTAAGTATCCTTTTTATGTTCACTTCTGTTTCCTTCCAAGGTTTTCTAATTTTTCCTGTAAAAAAATACCCTGGGAGAATTAAATAAATTCCTCTTTTTCTGCTGTGAACTATCTTACCAGTATGGCTATTTTTAAAATCTGTTCGTTTAATTTCCAGTTTAATGTAGATGGGTCTACAGGGGAACGTTCGTACTGAATATCAGTGTATTGTAATATTTTAATCAGCTTATACTATCCCGATTTGAACAGAGTCTCAAAAATAAAAGTCTGAGTACGTATGAAATTTAAGCGCCAAAATATAGAGGAATGGTGTATGTAATTACCTTGTCTCAAATTTCAGCTCAAAATATTGAGTCGTTTGGACGTGAAGGTCAAAACTGCTTATCAGGACACTTAACCCTTTGGAGATTTCGGGTCAATTTTTTCATTGGGTGACCTGATAATCGATTTCCGTTCCTTTAGAGGTTTATATAATGAATGACCCATGTGCTGTACTTGATAACGAAAGGTAAATTTCACCTACACATTATTTTTTTTTATAAAATAACAGTCTGGTTTTATCCAGACACCGCATAATACAGCTTAGGACACCGGTCTCCATTTCCATATGAAGACTGACGGGTTTAAGTTGTTTGAAAACGTATCACATATGTTGAGCTAGTTGCTCGACCCCAACATAGAGGATTTTAAGGGATTTTAACACAAAATTAAGCAGAGTTTTATTTTCCAAAATATTATCGGATGGTCACAGATTAGATGACTCTTTGTCGGATTTAAGATATATTGTTTCGACCACAACTTACAGAAGGTCTAATCATTTTTATAAATTTCACCTTTTTTGGGTTTTTTTAGTTTTGTTTTCGTATGTTTTACTGAAAATGGGTTATTATATCCTTGGCTAACAGTCGACATGAATTCGACAAAATGTCGCCTTGGGTACATTGACTTTCCGTTCCACGTTTATGTTTTCTGTTACTTACCAGTAATGTAACTAACAGGTTGAAGTCTAAACACATTAGGATGAACATTCTGATCTTTTAAAAAACATTTATTCAACAAATCCGCATCTGCAGGAGACGTTTTACGAACATGAGATTCAATAACTTCATATTCAGCTCTCAGAATGCTGGCGGGAATTGGAATATAACCATACCGCTGCCCTATAAAAGCCTGAAAATAGCATCGGTATAACAACTTTTAATACATCTAAATTTTTGCTAGGTATCTATAGGAATCTGGATTCTTTATACTTTGAATTGCACAAATAAACCGAGTCTGCTGTTATATATACTATTCAAAAAAAGTAGGGGATATTTGATTTTTAAGTGTTATTAAAGTCACCTAATGAAACTGACGAAGAAACAAAGGACAAAATGAAATGAAGTTCACATTCATCGATTTATTCCAAATGATCGTTAGACTAAGTAAGGCACAGACTGAACATTATAAGGGTAAAATGATACCCGGGGTCAAACAGCAAAGTTACCACAGCATCACAACCATGTCAGTAACGGGTAAATCCTCCTCTGTTTGCCAAACAAGCATTGATCCGACGTGGCATACTCCTAATGAGACGTCTAAGGTCATTTTGGTCCAGATTGTCCCATTCCTGTTGCAACGCAGCAGCAAGTTCTTGGACATTGGCAGGACGTTGTTGACGTTGACGTAACCTCTGTCCAAGCATGTCCCAGACATGCTCGATGGGGGGGGGGGGGGGTCGGGACTCAGTGCTGGCCAAGGTAATGTGGTGATGTTCTGTTGTTGGAGGTAACCTGTAACGATCCTGGCCCTGTGACATCTTGCGTTGTCATCCTGGAAGATGAAACGGCGGCCATGACGTCGTGCGAACGGCACAACATGGACTGCCAAGATGTTGTCCCGGTAGTACTGGCCTGTAACACGCCCTGCAACAACATGTAAAGCCGTTCTTCCAGCAACAGTGATGCCTCCCCACACCATAACAGAACCACCCCCAAATCGATCATGTCTGAAGACGTTAACGTCTTGGAAGCACTCGTTTCGACGACGCCACACCCTCCTACGTCTGTCCAAAAAATCAACAGTGAACCTTGACTCATCTGAAAACATCACATTGCTCCAGCGTCGATTATCCCAGTGTTGACGATCCCTACACCAACGACGTCTTGCCTGAATGTGATGATCTCTCAAACAAGGGATCACGCGAGGACGTCGGGCGCGAAGGTGACCCCTTTGCAGTCGATTCCGAATCGTCTGGCCACTCACTCTCACATCAGTGTCTGTTTGAAGACGAGCGCTGATCTGATTTGCTGTGATGACACGATTTCTCAAGGCCAAGGTACGGATAAATCGATCCTGGGCTTGAGTTGTCGCCCTTGGTCGACCTGAGCGTGGTCTGTCCTGTACAGATTGTGTATCACGGTATCTGGACCATAGCCTGCTTATGACAGACTGAGAAACATTCATCGTCCGCGCCACAACCGCCTGTGTTGTGCCGATCTTTAGCATGCCAAGGGCACGTAACCTTTCATTTTGGGTAAGCCGACGCATATCAAAATTTGTTTTCTGGTCACTAAAACAATTAAACTGATGTTTCCACCCTGGAATTCAATGCCACAATGACTGTAACATTCAAAGTCAGAGTCGTGCAAATCTTGGGTTGGACCCCCATGATGATCCCAAGCATCACCTGCATTCCATGCGGTAGCTATTGGTGCGTTTGGGCGTCACATGTAACTGGAAATGTTTCTTCTGTTAGGTTCTATAGTGACTTTTTTCGTAGTCATTTGCATATTTTAGTATTATGCCCCCAAAATCAAATATCCCCTACTTTTTTTGAATAGTATATATGTGGCATACCATATGAGTTCACGTATAGCATAATACCTTTACGAAAATTAACAATCTCGGCAGATCCCTGAAGCCATTGAACGCTGACCAGATGTAAGTCTCCTAACCCGACGACTATATCGCCACCCGATATTTCCATAGCAGAATATCAATCTGCAATTTTAAATTTAAAACTCACCACAAAGTTTGGTCCAACTGAAGTTGACTGACAATGATATAGTTCCGCTAAACACAAATCTGTAGCAGAATGATCTTCACTAGCCTCTATAGGTACTCCCCATCTCATATCTATTGCCTACAAAATAAGAGAGGTTGGATTTCAACAATCTTGATAGAACTTCATTAATTTCAAAAGAGACTGATATTATGAACAGTGGGTTATTGTCAACTTAATATCCCTGTAGCCGTCGCAACGAACATTATCTTCTCATTAACGATTGCTACGCCAATAACAATTATGGGCGATTGTCTTTTTCTTTAATACGCCTACTTGCTGACTAATCAAAATAGTCGTTGCATTATCTGGCATTAAGATACAGTATTGGCATACTGACCAATCACATTAATAGTATCTCGTTATTCCCGATGGAGGCTGGAGGGGGTGGGGGCAGTCTTTAAACGAAAGGGCGTATGCATAGACTGCTTAGACGTCATTCCACGACCAAGAGTTCTTGAAGTTGGTTCCCACATCACCCATAGGGAGATATCATTGAGCGTCATTGCTGATTTATGCTTATTCTTATAATGTAATGTTATAGCTGTTGTGAATTTTGTTTTAGTGGAGTATTACACGTATTTAGAACAACATGGTTTTCCGGAGTTTTAGTATTTAATGAACACAACGTAAATAGGGTTAAATTCAGGCCCGTAGCTAGCGCAATACGAAGCCAACGACCAGCTTGCCCATATCAGTATGGACGTACCCATAAAGTCAAGTGATTATTGGTTGGGCGCCCACGACGAGATTGGCGGGGCGACCAACCAATAGCAGTTGGTTTTATGGGCGCCTCGCCAATCCTGTCGCTATATTAATATAAGCAAATGGTGAGGCGCCTCATAATCAATCACACGATTAACACCACAACTTGATTGATGGGGCGCCCAAAACGGCGTGATTTGTGGGGTGCCTTATCGTGGATGGGCACCCATAATGACATGATTGGTGGGGCGCCTTAGTTATAATGACAATATATGATCGTCGAGCCGCACATAATGCATAATGCCGAGTGAGATTGGTTGGGCGCCCACGACCGCAGACCGAAACCCGAAGAAACCTACCATAAGAAAGCCAACTGGAGATTGTATAAAATTTTCCGGGTTAAATTCAGGATGGGGATGAGATTAATTCATGCCTGCTCCAGGCGTGATAATCTTCAAAATTCAAACTTTTCGTTTTTCTCATAAATTATTATAGGTACGTTCATAATACGCCAATATTGCAAATTGAAATTTTCCGTCATTTTCATAGTTCCTCTCTTCAGATGAAACCCTATTTTCCAAACTTTTCTAGGGTAGGGGGGGGGGGCGTCATGTGTAGGTACATCGGAAGCCCTTGCCCCCCCCCACACACACACACACACACACAGTACCACCACCACCACCACCTACATTTTTGGGCTATGCCACTGGCCTGAAATTGGAAAGTCCGTCGTAGGATGTTAAATACCATTTCAGTTTAGTTTGTGTTATCATTTTAGAATCCCTGAGTTGACACCGTTGGTAGAAGATCACATTACCAATTCAACATCGCATGTGATCTAAAAGTATGGAACCTTCTATATTCTCACCTGAAAATCTATTCCATATTTATCTCTGCAAGATTCTCTTAATCTGGGATAGACGTGTTCAGCTAATGCATTTCTTTCTGCTTCCATATCTGGAAAGCAAGCAGATCATAACGATAGTGGCATGGGAATTGTTTTGTGGTGTAATTTGTAAACGAGGTTTGCCAAAGACCTCTACGTTCATGAACTCGATTGTCTGGCCGTGGGGACGATGTTTTCCATGACTATGTTCCGAGATTTGTTCTAGATTCCCATGCAAGTGTAAGGGTGTCAACATTTACATATCCATACTATGGGGCAAAAGGTTACTTGGGTTTCGGGTTCTGGT